TTGGCCAATGCGCCAACTGCCGGTGCGAAGATATATTTTTTGCACAGTTCCCCGTAGCTTTTTTTTGCTAACGGCACTGTTTTTTCCGAAAGATGCTTTTTAGCTAAGAGAACTGTGAGTGGCCATCAAGACTTTTAGAAATTATTACAGTGATTCCTAATGCATGCCCAAAAAATTCAGTACTCTAGACGCTTTTGCTGCGGAGTTACGTAACTTTCATGCGCTTTACGCGAATGACAACGTCAGTGTTGTTAACGCGTGCGCTTACTCGGCCACGCTCAGAAATTTTCAGCACTCCAACTGCTCTGGTTGTGGAGTTGCGCCAAAATTCACGTGCTCGTACGTGAGCGGCAACGTGAATGCCGTCCATGGATGCGCTTGTTCAAGCAGGGCCCTGGCTCACGCCCGGAAAATTTCAACGCTCTAGCTGTTTTGGTCTTGAAGTTACGTGAAAAATGAAAGAGATGTGAAAGTCGTTTTGACGTCCGCCTGGTCAGAGGACATCGTCGGTTAAGTTCAGAAAGTTCTTGCCCCCTAGCTGCTTCAATTCAGAAGTTACGAAAGTACCTGCGTGAAACTTTAGTGTGTCTCTACGCGAGATGTAGAGGGGTGTAAGAAGTGCAAATCTATATTGGTCGTAACTGGGCGCAGTAAAAGCAAATGATTCGGGTTGTTCTTACTGAGCAAACAACGATGTATCGAGAAGCTCAGTTTAAGCTCAATTTACTCAATGGAACGCTCAATTTACTTTCACGGTCACTGCAGTGGGGGATAAGTAACGCTACAAAACTGCAACCCCCTAGAACTTTTTGGTCAGCTTAAATCTGCAGTTGACGCGATGCCAGTTTAAACTTTGATGTGTGCGCACGTAGACCTAAGGAAGCGTGAAGGCTTAATTTGAAATCTTTGGACCATACGCGGCCAAGGGACATCTCTGTCAAGTTCCAGCGTCCCAGCTTGCGTCGTTTCCGAAAAAAGTTTCCAGCCAAAAAACTTTCATGCCCGTACGTGAGAACCACGCGGACATGTGTCCCTCTTTTGAGGATAGGCGGTACATACGTGTAGATTAAGTTACCAAAGTTTAAGCCTTGTAGGTTTCGTGGATCTCGAGATGAAAGCTCTTATAGACGCACACACAGACACGCATAAACCTATGGTTTAACGAGTTCAAATTCATCCCCATGTATACGTGGTTACCACGTACGGGCCCAGTGAAATTTTTACGGATTAGTTGCTAACTCGGGAAACTGAAAATTTTGAGAACTGCAATTTTAATGGGATGTCATCCTCCACGTAGGTGTTAGTGAGTCCAAACCTAGCTCCAAGATGCGCGTGGTTTCCATGGGCCCGTGAGAATCTTTAGCGGATAAGCTGGTAACTCAGGAATCAGAAAAGCTAGAAAGCTGGAATCTGATAACTCAGGAATCAGAAAAGCTAGAAAGCTGGAATTTCCAGCCCACCAATAACTTAATGACTTCAGGCTCTGCTTCCAGCTACCCGTGGTCCTCACGTACGGGCCAATGGAAATTTTTAGTGGGTAAGTTGATACCCAAGAAACAAGAAAGCTAGAAAGCTAAAATTTTAAAGGTGTTTTTCCTGACATTCCTGGCTGCCAGTCTCAGTTCGATTAGCTAGAAGCATTTGCCAGAAAAATCGGTACCGTTAGCGACAAAAACATGCGGGGAACTGTGCAAAAAGCGTATCTTCGCACCGGCAGTCGGTGAGCTTGCCAATTATTTGTTGTGGTAAACAGCGGTCTTTGTATGCTTTCAAATTATCAGTTAATGAGCTCGGAAGACACCACTCTTTCGAAACTTTCTACTCCAGGGGATCGCGTTACTATTGAACCCGGCGTATCGTGCAGAAAATGTGAACGCTGCAGAACTGGAAACTACCACATGTGTCTAAACCAGGCTCTGAAGGGACTACCGCCAGAAGAAGGGTTGTTTCGACAGTATGCAACGCATGACGCCGACTTTTGCTATAAGTTTGTTTCAGCTTAATTTGTAGGCATTGAGGGAGTTGACGGCAGAGCTTAAAACAGTACAAATTTTCGAAGTGCGATCTAATTCTTGTATTAACGCAACTTGCAGATAAACTTTATCGTTTTTTAGAACCGATTTGTCTTTGTATGTTTTATGCTCGGTTTATTTTTTACGCTTTTTGTATCTTTTGCAGATGCCACTATTGTCGAGCGCTTACCTGTGCGTGTGCGTGTGTGTGTCTGTGTGTGTATGTGTGTGTGCTCTAGGGGAAGGAAATTTTGTCACCCACTTTCAACTCAGCAACTAGGAATGTTGGAGGCTGAAATTTTGAGAGCACATCTCAACCCCACTTGCCACCTTCCTGTTTTAAAAGCAGCGCTCATGTGCTTCTAATTTTCACCTGTGGATACTTGAAAAAAAAGCGTACGTTTTTTGAGAGGAAACGATTCTAAGAACCGGTAAATTTGAGAAGCTGAAATTTTGCAGGGATATTCTCTGTCTGTGTGTGAGTTAAACGTTTCGAGTTCAGCTATCGCACACGCTCGCGCTAGGCATAAGATCACGTCAAATTTGATAGTTGGCACAGTGGCGACTCGAAAACTGGCTGGGAAACAATAGCTGTAATTTTACCAGAGCATTTATCATTCATCTGTAAACCGTATATCTAAATCGAGTTTCGAACTGCACTTGCAATATACATTACGACAGGACAAACATATTTGTAGCGAAGTGGTGATTTCGGGTATCGAGCGAAATGAGAGGCTGTAAACACGTTCTGCATTCAAATCTAGTTAAATCCAGCTTAGAGACGAAATTCCCTGCACACAGACGTGAAAAATACTCAATTTTATAGCAGCCTCAAAAGTGAGTGCATTTTGCGGATTTCGTCATCCTTATTTTCCGGCACCCTGTTCATTGCCAAATTAACATTTTTCGATAAAAGACAGGTCGCCGGCAATTATTCATTTTCCCTCATGCAAAATTTACTGTGATCATGCATGCCGGAGCTTAAGAATTCACGCGACACCACGACGCAGCCCACTATCCCAGCCGATGCCCTCTTCTCTCTGCATGCAAGAAGAAAACGCCAAAAGACATCTACATGAATCCACATGTTAAACTGTAACGCAGCAACCACTTATGCTCTTAGAGATCTAACTGCTCCAAGTTTAGCGCAAAAACGCATGATTGCACCAGCAAGCCTGGTGCGTCGTTGCTTAGGTTCCTTCTGCAGACGAATGCAGCATGCAGTCATGGTGTAGAGGTCAGAATTGCTGTTCTTGTGCTAAAATTCCAAAATCAGACTCTGTAAGCGATATAATCACTTCCGTTTCTTTTCGTTCATATTTTTCATTGGTAAACCAGTATTACTGCATTTTAGGTAATTGCCACCAGCATGACTGTGCGTAACCCTCAAAAAAAAAGCCATCGACATCCCTACCATGGGGATTGACATTGGACGTACTGCCACCTGGGATGCATCCGAATGTCTTGTCTATTACTGTCTTTAATGGAACAGCTTTTTCTTGATATGCTTAGATTATGTGCCTTCAGTGAAATAAATTAGATCAAATTAATCGGTCTTTAAAGTGGTTTAGAGATATTTCAATCCATAAATGCTACTTTTCCACGCGAAATGTTGAAGGATAATTCCAGGCTGCCTGAAAACATGTCAATGGACGACGGCAGTCTTTTAGAACCATTAAGTGTCGGAATTCACGGGGTACGCAAGTCCGGTGCCAAGGCTGGAAGCAAAGTGCTTGTGCTCGGAGCAGGTTACTTTTAATCAATACAGTATGTGTGCAACAGGTACATCAACTTTCTCAGGAGCTTCAGAATCTAAACCCAGATGTGTAAAAAATTGTCCGGGATAAGAAAATGGAGCCTCAGAAATCGGCATGATCAAGTGGTAGCGGTGTGTTAAGGAGTAACAAAAGAATCAAATCGTTGTTTTGGCATTACCTGTTCCAAATGGCCTTATTTTCAAGGATTTTTTTTTCACCATTTTTGCACATAACTTGTGCTTTCAGTTTCATACATATGCTTATCATGCAAATTGTCATTTTCAGGTAATAATATTTTATTTGCACTCCCCTTCCCCACATACCAATAATTATGTCTCTTTCTTCAAAATGGTCACACCAGTGCTCTTTGTTTTTCTCCCGGGTATACTACTGGCAAAGAAACAGCCAGCTACCCTTCATGTGCCTTTGTGTAAGTCTCCTAAAGGCAAGTTAATAATTGAGCATTTCTTAATTCCAAAACAACTGCTTAGAATAGTTACTGCTGTTGCTAGCTTCTTTCCAAACACTTTCTGCATTCAACCAAATTAAACAAGCAGATGCGTGAATTAAAACGAACGCGTGAACAAACATTTTCCCGACAAGGTGTTTTGAGTGGACAAAATAGTGATTGCGACAATCATGCACAGCCTGCTATTAACTGCTTTGACCGGCCTGGCGTGCTCAAAGAAAGAGAATTTGGGCTTATGCCGTTCTGGTGTTTAAACATCAGCCCTTATTTAGATGTGACAGTACGGGATAAGAAGTGTTACTATTAAAAAACTGGTTCCCGGTTATTCACTTACTCCGTATCATCCAGAAAATACTGAAATGTTGATGATGCGTTTTCGCATATATGCAAATGCAAAAACGTATACTATGATGACTCGGTGTATATATATATATATGTGTGTTGTGTATATGTGCTTGTCCTGGTATTTCAACTCGGCAACCAAACAAGCTTCGGCGCTGAAATTTTACCAGCGGGTTTCCCGATCAAGTGTATCACTTTAGGACTACGATACCAACTCTCATGCACGCCAAGGCTATGCGTATGAGCACAAGAAAGTTCTGGCGGGAAAATCGCTAACTCGGGAACCACTAAAGCTAAAAAGCTCATATTTCGAGGTGATGTTTCCAAAACATAAAGATTTCAAATTCTCACGTACGACCCCGTGAACATCATTGGCGGGAAAATCACTATCTCGAAAAAACCAGGAAAGCTGGGATGCTAAAGATATGAGGGGATGTTTCCATTTCATGTATAACTTAACAATTTTAAACTCAGCCCCTAGGTGTGTGTTGTCCTCACGTATAGCCCTGCGAAAATT